CGCGAACATACATTACATTACATACATAGTAAAGTGACCTATCGTCGACCGTTCAAATTGTAACAAATTATGGGGTACTTACATCAATTGGCAGTGTGTCCCGTTGTGCGCCTAGCACGCCAGTTACAAACAGTTTTTTCTACCATTTAAAAACATAACACTACAATCCACAGTACAGAAAATAACTAAAAATCACTTTACTACATCATAACTACACTTTAAAATTTAACTTTAACATAGTGTCCGTAAAATTGTACATTGAAAGCCGTGGTTTTGTTTACAAAAATTGTATTTAATGAGCGAGCGTAAACAACTGTACACGACCGCGAATTGGACGCAACTGATGTCACTTAACTTTGACAGGTCTGCAGGTCAAAATATGCGAGGGGTAGTTTTGATTTTCGTCATTATTAATCAGCAACTTTTTTATGGGATAAGCTGGTAAACGAGCAGACGGATCACCTGATGGTAAGCAATCGGCGCCGGCTCATTCGTGCCGGCTCTACCACACTTATGGCTCTACCACACTTATGGCTCTTGACTTACTTGACTTAATATCCTGTGTCCCCTAGATGGGGCAGAGGGCGTCCACTGAAGTTCTCCATCGCGATCTGTCTTGATCTTCCCGCTTCACCTCACTCCACGTCATACCGATGCTCGTGCTTCTGCCAGACGGCCACGCTTTCTTTTCTCTTGGGGATTCCATTCCAAGGCTTGCTTGGATATGTGGTCAGGATCCCTTCGGATCGTGTGCCCTATCCATCCATCCTTATGACTCTACCGCACTTAATATTTGAATATGTTTACTACGCAATAAAAGTGTTTATCTCAGGCTATTATTTACTATGATCCCCATATTTGACAAACGGTTTTGTGATCAAAGTTAGATCAGCGAATTAAAATAGTTTAGATTTGACTTTTATTTTGTATTTCGAATAGAATAACCCGCCATTCCTAAAACAGAGAGTAATGGAGGTAGTAGGAGTAACTTTTATGTTCAAGAGCCGTTATAAATGAGTCAGGAATCGAACCCGAAACCTCTAGTGAAGTAATTCTAATTGAAGGAGTCTTTATGATCAGTAAATGACTTAGGATTTTTTTTGGCGAATTTTATGCTCTTGAGCATTTAAAATCTTATAATCAGACTTTTATCCCCCGAGGGGTAGGCAGAGGTGCACATTACGGCACTTAGAGCTACTATACCATGTAACACCTACTGTTCACGATTTATCTTATGGCTCCTATGTAATAGGGGGTGAACCTATTGTCACATACAATTCCAGGCTCTGCTACTACTGAGATTTTTTTTTTAAACTCAGTAAAACTTTGCCCGACCCGGGAATCAAACCCGAGGCAGGCAATTTGAAATCAAAATTAACTAAAGTTCGTGAGTTACGGGAATATACTTAGAAAAGCTCTACTAATTTCAAGCCACTGAGGGGCTCTTCCTAATGATCAGCGTGCGCGGTCGCGGCGACGTCGCGCAGCCTACTGAAGGTACTAAGATAAGAGAGAGAGAGAGAGAGAGCATAACAGTGTACTCCTTTTTAAAAGGCCGGCAACGCACCTGTGACTTCTCTGGTGTTGCGGGTGTCCATGGGCGACGCTGATCGCTTACCATCAGGTGATCCGTCTGCTCATTTGCCTCCTATTCCATAAAGGAAAGTTTTTCCCGTGAGTAACTCGCGATTTTTAGTTAATTTAGTACCTATGACTCATGATACATTATAAATTTGAAATCTATTTATTTGAAATAGCTTAAACAAAGATAAATATGTAAACTGTAGTTGCCATTTTTGAGGGGGGGGGGGGGGGCGATTACATAGTAGTATCGGGCATTGTATAGTATCGGGCACTGTAGTTTAGCCTAGTATACAGATATTAGATTTTTTAAGTATTTGACGTGAGTAATAATATAAGGGTTGTAAACTAAAGAAAAATGTCGTGGTGGCCCACAGGTTAATACGATGCTTCTTATCCATGAGAGGTACGACACCTACCAACGGCAAGTACCAATGTGACTTTTTCCGAGTTATATGTACTTTCTAAGATTATCTAGACACCACTGACAACGATGAAGGAAAACATCGTGAGGAAACCTGGGCTTTTAATTTCCAATTATAAGTTTGACATCGCCAACCTGCAATGAGTAAGAGTAGTGATTAATGTTCAAACCTTCTCCATGTGAGAAGAGGCCTTTGCTCAGCAGTGGGCATTTATATGCTGTTGATGATGATGATGATGATGATGATGACACTCACGCAGACAGTAAGGGATGGTGGAATGTGGGAGAGTGGAAGAGAAAAAGGGGTGTGAAAGGAGGCTTTGTTCAGCAGTGGGACTTATAGGCTGTTGATGAGTATGTGTGATGTAAAATAAAGAAATAAAATCACCAGGTTATAAGGATAATTCTCGTTTTATTCCTAGAACTCATGAGGTAAACAATACTAAACTATATCATACCAATTCAAACAAACTGAATGTTTTACAATACAATTGTCAAACATTTATTACTTCTTTAAACAATTTTGTACCACACGCATTCTGTATTTATTTATTTTTTTTTGTAAAAAAACAGGTTGAAAAACACTCCAGTCGACATTAGCAGACAAAATACTGTATTCATAGGGACAAATCATTTTTTATTTAAATTTAAATTAACGAAGATTACAATTAAAGCTACGTATTCTAAAATACATAAATACGCGATTAAATTATATTTTTTTTTATTCAATAAAAAAAATGTTGTGAAATTAAAACTTAAAAAAAGAGTTGAAAATAAAAACAGAGAAAATAAAATTAGATAACAAACAACAAAAATAGTGAGTTTATTTATTTAATGCCGATTCGTAAGCGAGCCGATTATTTTTATTATTTATTTTATGTCAGAGGGACTCGGAGAAGAGCCTTGTTTATACTTGAAAAATATGACTTTATCCTGGTTAATACTTATAATGTATTTCCTAAAGAGTATGCCTTTTTATAAAATAGATGTTCAGACCAAAACGGTAATAAGATATTTCTTAATACAATCTGACTAATTCGTTATGGCACGGCCTATTCTGATAAAAATTAAATAAATGAGAAGTGCTAAATAATAAACTAAAGTCTAACAGTGAAATTATATCGCTGTACAAAATAATAGATAGAATTTATAATTTCTGTGTATAAAATTCCGTTCTACGATTTATTCTCGGACAATTTACAAAATAAAAATTTTAAGTTAAATTAAAAAAATCGGAGACATTTTGTGTGTTTTAATTTTTAATTTCAAGATTATAAATTATGAATGAACGATTTTTACTTAAATTATTTTACTATAAGTGAACAGTTGAAGATTAAAATAGTTTATAAATTAAAAATTAAACATATTTTCAGAGATGACGTAATAGGAACAATGGAATAGAGCTTAGGCTACAAAATACTGATGATACATGCTAGGGGTAGGGCTTAAACAGTTTTGGTCACAGAAACGATCGATATACCAACACCGACCATTTTCTAAAACTAAATGGCTCAAATGGACGCCAGGAATCAAAAATCAGGAATGCAAAAGGTGTTTTATAGAAGGACACAAATATATAATCTAATACTGAAATAAAAATGTGTATATCTTGTTACGAGATTATGACTGCGCGAATTGTGAGTTAATACTAAAATATTGTTTTCTTGCATTTTATATCTCACAGGACAAAGTTCAAAATATCGTAACGCAGATGGAAACAATTAAAATTATTACTTAAATTGAAAATATATGGCATTTTATGGCTACCTCATGAATCACAAACATTAGCACTCGTTTTTTTATTCTGTACATATAATGTCCTAATGCTTTTTTACACATTAATAATTTTTTTTACCAATATTTCTGTAACAATTACATTTTTATTAACATTACGTTTTTATAATATAATCTAATCTTATTTACAAGTTGTATTTTGTTATAGAATTGACCTTTTTTTAATTAAATATTTTTTTTTATTAAATATAATATTTTTTCGAATGTATAACTAGATTGTTTTGCGATAATTTCTGATAGTGAGGCGTATTTTGATGTTAAATACGTCGATAAGGGGGGGATTTTAATGAGTATTTTTTCTACCAGAATTTATCCCAAAAGACGGTATTGTCACGAATTTTACCCTCCAGGCACAAAGTGGCGTTCTTAACCCAAATTTTATTGCCTTAAATATGATTTGTTTTTAATATAATTTCACGAAGTTCTACATTTAATAATACTATTCGTAAAAATGTCTTTTTCATGGGGAAGTAATAAATATAAATATTTATATAAACTAACAACTAAGATTGGTCAGGATTTAGGAAATACACACTTTAAATATATTTTTATCTACATTTTAGCAACAGCCTTCGGATTTAAGTCTACTTAACTGCAATTTAAGTTTAAAGGACCAAAGTAACTTGTGAAACATATAAAGGTTGTTGCTATAACTAGATAGACATGCATGCGGTTGCATATATGGGTTATTCACATTTTTGTTCATACATTTTTAGGAAAATATACTAAGCACACGACTCCTCACGCACATTATATTATAATCGCTTTTCAATAAATTCAACAATAGTTTTCAACTAGTTCTGTTTTGGCACAAAAGATTTGCCACTAAGTTATCCAATTTGTGACTAAGGCACAAGTTTTTGGGGGAATCTACTTCATAGATAGATTTCAGTAGAATTAGGGTCTAAGTTTACGTCACAGTGACATTACAATATAAACTCTATCACTGTCTTTTGACGCTTCAAAATTGAGTGACGCGACAACGTTCCTAATTCTACAATTTCATCGAATCGAAATTATAAGTCTGAATGACATTTTAGGTCTCCTAAAACACTAGGCACTTCTGAAAACATATCTAGCCTGAATTTCAGACAAAAAACTGTGCTACAAATCACACATTCTTTCCACAACATTCACTTTTCGAAAGTCTTAGGTTCATTTCTTGAGTTTTGTTTCAAGTCACTTTTCGTTAAGTCTCTAGTCAGTTGGTACCGCTGGTGGAGGGACCAAGGTTCGCTTCCTGGTGTTTGTACTTGTGTGACGTCATCTGAGAGAGGCCGAGGACTGCGAAACCGCACTGTAAGCAGTGGTAATGGGTCTGCTTCTTGCTGTGGATACATTGGGGCTCATAGCCACAACCTGGGAAGAAAAAGACTTCGTTAGACATTGATAAACTAAACATTGACTGCCTCGTTGGCCGAGTGGTCGCAATTGCGACTGCCGGGTAAGGGCAAAGTATTACTGGGTTTTAAAAAAAAAATTGTCAGTAGTAGCACGGAGCCGGAAACTGTGCCCGGTATATGGCAATAGGCTCACCCCCTATTACATGGGACTCATAACATAAATAGTGAAAAGTGGGTGTTACATTGTACAGTGGTATAATGTGCGCCTCTGCCTACCCCTTCGAGGATAAAAGGGCTTGATGTTATGTTATGTTGATAAACGAAAGAATGACAAGTTTAACAATCATTGATTAAGTGATAATTTAGATTAAGGATATTCATTAGGCCTTTTTTGAGGGGGAAAATCACCCAATGACTTTTTAACGTCTTAGGTGAGGTGAAAGGGAGTGTCGGGCTCTTACTGACTAACAACCACCTCGTTGCTACTCCTGCTAGGTTGCAAGACCCATGAGGCTTGAGGTTCAAAGTTATTCATGTTGATGCATGCTTGCATTATCAGTTGTTTTGTATTTAAAATTCTCAGTTATAAAACGCAATTTTGATTGGACCTAGTAGAATACTGGACATTTTTATAGAGCTGAATTGAGAGATAACTGATCTTTAGCACCATATAACAAATAAGGTACAAATTTCATCTTACCTTTGCTAGGTGGGAACTTCTCGAAGCCAGCAGCCTGGATGGAGTCGAGTTTCTGATGCTGCCGACGGTGGGCGACGACCTTATTGGTGTCAGTGCACACGAAGTCACATTTTAGGCAATGGAAGTGAGATGCCTTGTTCTGTCCTGTTCCTTGTGGCAAAAGAAACGTCTAATTTAGCATAATTTTGAATAAAAAACCTTGAAATGATATGATAAGTAGACATATTACTATCAAGTATAGAAAGCAAAAATCACAGGAACAAAATTAATTTAAAAAGGTAAAACTAACAAACATAGTGTACAGTAACGCCATCTCTTATTTGATACGTGAACTACAAAAATGTAGAATCGTGTTTAGTGAGTGTCTCTCTCTAATCTCTATTAATTTTCACACAAAAACTAATTCAATACGTTTCTAATGTGATGATAAAAAATGTGGGTAACATCTTAAAGTGTTAAAAGTCCCAAATAATGCTAAATTGTGTTGTCTTTTTTGACTTTTTTTCGCGTCGCAAAAGGGCAATCTCTTGATATGGTTTTCATGTCAGATAGATATGGGATGCTTTTTCACTTTAGCTACAAAAGATTACTATCATAATATAAATGGAATATTTACCGAATGTCGACGCATGTGGACACTCCGGTCGCTTGCAGTAGACATTAGCTCTGTACTGCTGGAAGTCACCGCCCATCAACGTGTCCAATCTGAAACATAAATTATTTTATTAATAATGTAAAAGACAATGTAGTAGTTGGCTGTGTCTTTGAATGAGTTTATTTTCGAAGGAGTCTAGTCTCCCAATAACAACCAATAAATGGGAGTCATTGGGAAGGGCTATACTCAGCAGTAGAACCCTGTGACTGACATGATGATGAAGAAGATAATTCAAATGAAGCTAAGGTGTAGTGGTCCAGAGGTTTAAGACCCGCGCTTCTCATGTATAAGGGTGTTAGTTCGAAAGCTACCTAAGATTATTTAGACACCACTGACAAATGCTGAAGGAAAATATCGTGAGGATCCTGGGCTCATAATTTGTAATAGTTTGAAATTGCCAACACATATTGAGCAAACGTAGTGATTAATGTTCAAACCTTCTTCGTGCCAGAAGAGGCCTTTGGTCAGCAGTGGCCACTTGTAGGATGAAGTGATGTGATGAGATGATACAAATGATAATACAATATTTACCTTTCATGTCTAGCAGTATGTTGGACGAATCTAGTCTTGTCGCAGAATGAGTAACCACAGTCCTTTCTCGTGCAATGGAAATGCGTTTGATGCTCCCTATAAAAACGAGAGTAATAAGGTTTAAAATTTTGAAACTGATTGATACTGATTTCAACCATACTTGAGAGATTTTTTGATATCAATAAAGGGTGATACTAAACTTTATGGTACAGAGTTAGTTCGAAAGGAATATTTAAGCACTTTTACATTGTTGGATTCAGAAACCATTAATAACTTAGACTATACAAAGGCTATATCTTATACTATTATATAAAGCGAAAGAGTTTGTTTTTTTTGTTTGAACGCGCTAATCTCCGTAACTACAAGTCTGATTTGAATAATTCTTTTTGTGTTGGAGAGCGCATTTATCGAAGATGGCTATAGGCCATCACATAAAACATCACGCTACGTCCAATAGGAGCTGAGCATAGCGTGTGAAACCGCGCGGAAGTAGCTAGTATTATATATTACTTCCAAAATTCTTTCGATCAAGTCCTCAAGAAAAGTTGAATGTCAAAACGTTACAGTTTTCTGCTTACCTGTATCCACAGTGCTGGTAAGCGCAGTCCTCGTTGAACCTGAAGCGGAGATAGCCTTCAGGGATAGGCTCATCCTTCATGACGCGCATGTGAGGACCACGCGTGGTATGGGTTCGCCTGCTGACGTTACAAGCAATTTTAGTATGGTTTGAAGAAATTAATATGTAGATGAAGATATGAAGGAAAAAATAGAGATAGAGATAAAAAATTGCAGAAATATCAATAGAAAGAAGAAAACTAGATAGATGATAAAAAAATGCACGCTACATTAAAATTGGTAGTTACATATTATGTTTGTGGCGAAAAATATTAATGAAGTAGATATTTTTAAAAACAAAAACAATTTAAAATTTCTTTAAAAAGTAAAATATCAGAGAGAAAAGTAAAGAATGTAAGGAATACAAATCAAAATATTTCAACTCACGTCTTGGCAATCATTTCAGCTTCCTTATCCAGACCTGGTGGAAGACCATGACCTTGAAGAAGACTCTGTTCCAGCAGCAGCTCTGGTGGGTACAGCATTGTTGGGTACAGAGAGAATGGAGAACCACTGGAAAAAAGGAATGAAATCATTAGCACATGTCGACTTCAAAGATGATAATGAAGAGACCAAACTGGTATTTAAAAAAGATCTTTAACTCGGATACTTAAAACATAAGCTTGAATACTACAATATGTTTAATATATACGGTCGAATTGAGAACGTCCTCCTTTTTTTGAAGTCGGTTAATAAAAGCAAGAAAAAGAGTAATTTCGAAAATGTAAATAGTCCTATTACCCCTGTGAGAATAAAGCAACTTGTGCTAGTCCTGGAAGACCAGCTAATGAAGCTGTATACTGCTGCTGCATCTTCAGCTGTTCCTGCAGACTTCCTTTCCTGCCACCTGCTAGATACTGTTGCAGAAGAAGGCTTTGCACTGCCTGCACCTGTAAATGAAGGTGATGCATTAAAATAAGTTTTATTTATATCCAGACTTAGCACATACTATTACTGAAAATTTAATATGACTGACCCAGGAATGGTCGTAGTTAGTCGTCCAAATGGTCGTCGAATGAATCATGTTTGATAAAGGACCATAAATTATATAAATTATTTAATTTGGTATTTACCTGATCAGCAGGGTTCGGAGGTCGCTGACTGTGGCTAGGAGAAGGTGCTTGGCTGGTAGACGATGATGATGCAGTTGAAGGCAATATCGATATCTCAGGATATTCCCTCTCCAAAGTCTCCTGTGCGCAAAAACACAATCTTAGTTGAATGGTATAAACTTGCCAAAATACAATAATAATTGTTACAAATAATACAATAGATTGACGTCAATATTCCTAAATTAGTATTCACAGAATCTAATTATACATAACCACTATTTTGAGGACGGCGCCTTTTATTAAAACCTAAATAGAAGTTGACAAAATGCCAACTAACACAATTGTGATAAAGGTTAAACTAATATTTTGAGAATGATGAATTTATGCTTCAATAAACAAAAGAAGGGACCAAAAAGTAGCTCACCTTAGTGGCAGCTAGTCCAACTGGACCAGGCTCCATGGAATTACTGTGTTTCTTCACCATATGACTGAACAGCAGTTTCAGATCCACATATGCTTGACTGCAATGAGGACAATGATAATGCAGGTTCATTCCTGTTGAGTTCTTGTTCAAAGGACAGGTCTGATCATGGCACGAAGGTGGGATGGTAGGTCCTGTGATCTTCGGTGGCTCGAACATTTTCTTCTGGTCATAATCCATACGAGGTTTCATTTCCTTTGAAGGTGAGGCATCATAGATGCTCCTTGGTGACGGAGACGAAGTGTTACTCCGGAGATGTGATGACGGGTAGAAGGTACCGGTCGCTTTTACTACTGAAATAAATATGGTTTCAAGATCAGTTTAATGTGGCGTGAGATTTAAATATCGTCTAATACTGATTTAAGATTGGTAACAGTAGAAAATGGCTAATGCTGTTCAAATTCATAGAAAAATACTCACCGGACACGCTATCCTGTTCTCTTTCAAACTCACTCTTGATTGAGAAGTTTGCTGGTGTGAATGACTCGTTAGGCTCCTTCATGGAACTAACACTATCTACTGAAGCTCGCTCTTTCAAAGAATAATCTTTGGCTTCCTCGAATTGCTTCTCCTGATCTGTCTCACTCTTGATCACAGGAGTACCCCTGCCGTGTTTGTGAGTGGCTAATGCTGAGTACTGAGTCAAAATCGCTGGGCAGTTGTTACCCTGGGCACAGTGGAAATGAGATCGCAATTGGTTCTTGAAGCAGCTCTTTCCACCACACTGGTCGAATGATGCGAAATAGTCAAATCCTTCTAATAATGGACTGACACCATGAACTTCCCTCATGTGGGTCTCCATAATATGAGTTTCGCCAGCAAAGCTACAGTTGGAGCAGTGAAGATGTAGTCGAGCCATACGGAGCTGGCAGGCGGGATAGGAGGACAAGCATGTCAGGACTGGTGAACACTTCGAAATGTTGGAACTTGATGCGCTGTGAAGAAAAATTAAACATAATCATACGTTTCTTAAAACTACAACATTACTGTCTTTCTGTTTAAAAATACTTACAGGGAATTCTTCAATTGTTGGAATAACCGGTGACTGTATGACCGGCGGTAACTGATTACTCTTCGGTAACTTGAACGACGTGAATATGGCGGTTGGAGTGATATTGTCAGTATAGACTTCCACGACCCTGTTCTTCGGGGGCCTGCCCCTTTTTCTGCTGAACATTTCATCTAATGAACTCGATGGGTTGACTTGTTGAGGAACACTCCAGGATTAGGTCCAAGTTCAACTGAGCTTGCAAGTTGGGTGTCAACTGTGAAGACAAGCTTGGTGCCATTTGGGCTAATTGTGCCAAGTTTGGCGGAAGACTGGGTAAATTTGGGACTTGACCAAGTTGAGCTGCCATATTCGGATGCAGCTGAGCTGACAGTTGTGGGGTAAAGTTTGGAGCGAATCTGGATGCTAAGTTCGGAGACATTGGGCTGAGAATCGCGTGCTGGCGATGATGCTCTAGACGTCTGAATGGGTGCTCTTCAGAGGATAGGATGACTGCTCCACAGTTTTCCCAGGTGCAGTGGTAGTGGGTGATGTCTCTGATGTGTTGGCAGGCTGAGTTGCCACAAGGGTTGTGACGAGTGTAAGTTACGAAGTAGGCTTCAGTGACTTGGTTCTGTTGCTCGTGTTCCATCACGTGTTTTACCATTGTAGTGTGGCAGCTGAGGAGACAAATGGAATTAAGTTAATGACAGAAGTTCTTTTCAACTTGTTTTAAAAGTTTTTCTTCATATTTTGAAACTCACCTGTGTGCCATTTTACAGCCGTCAGCCAAGCAATGATAATGCTTGTTGAAAGCGCTGCATTTGTTGCATTTATCCTCAGCCTCTTTGCCTCCATTAAATGTCTCAATGTATTTCCTTGAAATCTCTTCAACTAGTGCCGGATTCTGTAAAACAATGTACTGATTTACATATGTTTTCCTTGTGGTTACGCCTTGTTGTTGGGTATTTTGAAGGCGTATGTACAATTTGGGCACGAGATACAGTCGCGAACAAATTGATTCACTAACAAAACTTACCAAAATCGAACTCACCATTTAGAACTATGACCGACCATGTACGATACGCATTTTACCAATAACAACTAGCTATATACACTTCATAAAATGACTCTATTAACACTAACAAAACTCGAGTGGCATAAAATCTTTCAATTACGTTCTCTGCGTCGTCATCTCATTCAATAATCACTTCATATAAATGACTAAGTGTGGAATTGTTACTTACAAATGGATGCGGGTAGTCAGAATCCATCATTGGATTGGACATATCGTCATCGACGAGGACATTTCCTCCTGGAGAATACATGCTTAAGTCAGCTCCTGGTTGCATCAGCGCACTCTGAATCACCGAAGTAGGAAGTCTGTGAATCAAAAAAATGACGTTGCTGTTACAGACAATTGTGAAAATACTCTAAAATCGGTTTTATTTTTGGACATTTGCATCTACTTCATCGTCATTGTAGCAGTAACCGATAGTATAAATTTCGCAATAATACTTTTGGGTGATATTATGGGAACCCATAACTGGTGAAAAGGCACTGTAACATGAGAAAATTTTGTGATTTTATATACGTTTCTAATGATATTCTTGCTTCGTATATCAATTGAGGGGTATGACTCAGTTTTAGCGGCAATGTCATTCATGATGAGCTTGTGCTCGGAATAAATATAGTTCATTTCGTCGCTAACTACTTAAAGACGTACGTGATTAAGTGCATGTTACTTTGATTTTAATTCATTTATTTTATTACGATTACAAGAAATCATTTTGTTAACGTTCCCATCATCTTTTTTTTGTCACTTAAGCAGTTTACTTGATTTATGGCTGTTTTTACAAAAGTTTCTTAACTAAGAGTTAATTAGAGCATAAAGAAGCGCCTAAGCTAACACCCTGTCTTTACTGTTTTTACTTCTCTTAAATTTAAGGGAACTCCTAAGCTAAGAAGCTTGGTGGAAACCATAAGATTAAGATTTTATAATATTTCTGGTACTATTATTAATAAACACTTACCCAAAGCTCATTTCTTGCTCCTTCCTCTCATGCTTCCTCTTATGAGTGAAGATCTGACTGCTGGAATGCAGCACGTAGTTGCAATGGGGTCTGATGCAGTGGATATGGTTGCATGTCTTGCTGAACCGACAGTCCCGGTAAGGACAGGCTTCGTTCTTCATGTATTTCTTGAAACCATCTTTAGATAAGGCTTCATCTTTGATGTGGTAGGTCTTGTGTTTTTCTGTAAATATATTGTTATTGGGTTTAGAATTGTTGTTATGTTTCGATACTTCTATATTGATAATGTCTGTTTTATTTACATATATGTTCTTTATTTTATTGTTATTTTCTATTTAAGTAACTTTAACTCTAAAATTTTCTTATTTTTAGATGCAGTGCTACATTTTATTTCTTGTTATATGTTTTGATAAAGCAATTAATAATTTAAATCAAATGGCTATAATTTAATATCTTCTACTCACCCATATCAGCCTTATTCTTGAAAGTATAAGTGCATCCAGGTCGTCTACAATGGAAATGCGTGGTCCTTTGACCGGCGAAGACGCAATGCGGTGCAGCACAGCTCTCAGTGGCTCTGAACCTTTGGAAACCCTCCTGAAGGATAGCAGAGTCTTTCCTGTGATAATTGGCGTGCATTTGCACGTCTGAAGTTGATATGTATACCTGCAAATGAAGAAAACAATTGTAATGCTGCTGTTTGCGAAGTCATTCACGTGGAATTGCTTATAGGCTATATATTTTCTCAGATTAAAAGTGAAATACTGATGACTGTCGATGAAGCGAAAGAGGTGTGTATCAATCGTAGCAATTGGGATTCCATAGTCTCAGCCTACTCACATGGGAGAGAAGCGTGAGGTTATATGTGTATGTATGTTACAAGTGAATCTATGTGTTCATTGTCTAGATCTGATTATCCATGTTGATTGTTGAGTAACAAACATTCGTATGTTCACATTTATAACTTTGATACAGGTAGTACAGTACGATTTTGAGAATAACATTGAATTTTGAATACATTGCTTTTTATTTCATCTTCTTCCTTATTCTTTTAACGAGGGTTTAGCCTTTCTTTTTCAGTTTCTTTTTGTATTTAGTTTTTATCTTCATACCAGTTGTCTGATGCGGTGTACTCATTTGTTCCGCAAGTGTTAATTTATATGATTCTTTATAACAATTTCTGAGTATCTGTAATTGGCTGGTGATTCTCTAATTACAAAAGTTTCTCAGTAATTTAAAAAAATATGAGGTCGATATCAAGTAGCCGAGTGACGCTTGACTAGTCGTTTTAAATATGAATGTTTGATGAGCTTAGACAAGTAATATAATTAATAAATGACTTGTTTCTCACAGAGTGTTTGTAGAAAGAGCAAATGAAGCGCAATTCTTTAACTAAATGATATTTACAGCCACGGTAAACAAAAACAAAAGAACAACGTTGGAATTAGGTAAACGTTTACCACGCGCTTCGATAGATGGCGTTGATAAGTGTGTCTTAAATATTTCTTTCTAGATTTTGTTGTAATGTTGTATAAATTCAGTTTGGGATAAGTATATTATTATTGGGTCAATGACTGATGAAGTACTGTGCTTCCTGTCTTCAGTAAAATAGATTTTATCTGAAGGAAGGGCAGCATCCTGGCTTTGTGCTAATATCATCATTGAGATCATTGGTGCTTGTTCATGTTTTGTTTTCTTTGTATAAATCAGAACAATCTATATAGAATTAGGTATAAACTAAAATATACGAAGTTCCTGACACTTTAGACTAAATGACCACGATTTGAAATAAAATATACATTACAATGAATATTTCATTTTTTAAGGTATAAAAGACCCCAGATATAAATAAGAAAAATACAAGAGTTAATGATAATAAAAAACAATGTTAAACTCCATGTATAATCCCCAAAGGGATAAGCAGAGACAATGCTAAATATAATAATATTAGAGTTGATGATAATGATGACAATTCTTACCTTATCGCAGCCATCTTGGATGCAGTGGTAGTGGGTTTGACTCCGGTTGTGAGGGCAGTCACTAAATCTTTCAGAGCAATCGTCCAGGGGAGAGTACCTCATGAAACCATGGGCTAGAGATTCGTCACGTTTCTTGTGCCACTGTAGAAAAGGAAAAATATGTTGTAAATACAGTATCAAACTCGAGTCCTCAATATTTTTTCATATCATTCTTTATATCTACACAAACTTACCTTGAAGTGTCTGATCATCTCTTCCTTCTTGCAGAACACCCTGGCAGTGCAGTCCATGCAGTGGAAATGCTCCCGGTAACCCAGGTCCTTGCAGTATGAGGAACCGCATTCTAGAGTTGAGCTGTACCTGTGGAACATACCATTTTAATTAAAACCTTTTATTGTAGACATAACATAACATCACGCCTTTTATCCCCGAAGAGGAAGACAGAGGCCACTGTACAATGTAACACCTACTTTTCACTATTTATGTTATGAGTCCCATGTAATAGGGGGTTAGCCTATTGCTATATACCAGGCACAATACCAGTCTCCGTGCTACTACTGAGAATTTTTTTTAAAAACCCAGTAATACTTTGCCCGACCTGGGAATCGAACCCGAGACCGCTTGCCCGGCAGTCGCACTTGCGACCACTCGGCCAACGAGGCACTCAACTTTTGCTGTAGAGTTTTATCTTTATCAAACAAGACATCTTTAGTTTTTGTTATTTATACATTGACCTCTTAATTATTACAATTCTTGTTACTAACCAATAGAGTATCAACATTATACAAAACAACTTCAACAGTACAAAACTTATTAAAATCATTACATAAATTAATATCCATATGTATTTCCATTGAAGTAAAAAATCCACACGTAACGTCATCATGGCTTCTGATAACAATTTAATAATTCTTCAAATTGATCACGAAAAATATTCACGCACCAACGTACACTAGGTATAAAAAGTGACAGCTAAATTATATTTAGAATAATCAGTAGCAATACCTCTTAACGTATCTGGAGTAGTCGACTGTAGTCTGCAAAGAATTCTTCCGCGCCTGGTCCAAATGATTCAACGCCGAGAGCAGACCTATACAAAAACGAAAAAACATGTTGATACAAACAAAAAACTATATTATGCTAATACACAACGAAACAATCATAACTAACGATACATTCATCCATTCCTTTTCCGTCAAACTTATTCTTTTGTTTGGAACAGCCAAATCACCTCCATGCATCATATTCAGAGGAACAATGTAGTGTTTTCATCATATTTTAAAACTAGTGAGTCTTTATGAACGGTTCCGTTCATGTTTGCGTTACATGCTTCATAGTTGGAAGTTTTTAGTTCAAAAACAACTTAAACGTCGGGCGGGTTGTGTAAGCGGCCCCTCCCCATATCAAGTTTTGGAGTATCAAATAAATTATTATGGTAATTAATCAATGTTTTCTCCTAGTCACTGTGGAGCGGGCCATTGTGAGTGATCGTTGACGCTTGCTCTATGTACACTGGTGCACGAACCTCTTTTTGTATATCGATTTGTTTTTTAATAAGACGAAAGATGTTATCTTTTAAATAGAAACGAATGTGTGGAGCGAGAATCAAATGCTTGAGACGTTTTATTTAGGAAACCGAAGCGTTTCTTATTGATTTTACGGTTAAATTTTTGTTATAATGCGATTGCATATCTAAATGCTAATAAAATATGAGTTCGATCTACGTCTCGGTAATTTACATTTGGTTACCATGTAATAAATGAGAGTATTTGGAATTCTTGAATATATTTTTACTTGTTAATATGATTGAGTATTGAAATTTAATATGACAAAATTAGCTTAGTGAAATATTTTTAATTACCTCTTTTCCTAATCACTTCTGCACTCATCATTACAACACATACTTGTATGTATTGTATTGAATTCTCGCGTGTAAAGTTTTAAAGAGTATTAAACTTGAGACGCTGCTATGTCGAAATACCGTCGCTTTTTTTACAAAATCGTTTTTGAAAGACGAATTAATACCTATACTTATGTAGATTAGAGCTCACAACACAATGGATGTTAACATGTAGCTAGATAATTTGTGTGTTACATAAGTCGTGCATGAATCGTGATTGTAATAACGGACAGGGTTTAGAGAGAGCAGGTTATTATTAATGAATGAGGGTACTTTTGATCCGGTGTTAGGGTTGACGATGATAGAAAAGTTTTTAGAGACAATGATGATGAAAGATTAGAAGAAAACATTTATAATAATGATGATTTTAACCTTATAGATATTGATTTAACGTTTATAATTGATATACTTCCTATAAGAGAAATATGTGACTGTGTTGTGCATGTTTTGACGTTAAAATATTTATTGGTGCTCAGCCCTAGTTTTGGTTATAACCGAGTTAATAGCTCACGACTTGCCGGCGATAGTGCGAATATAGAAAAACAATTGTACATCGACAGTACTTCGTGTTTATTGCCTCTAATTTATGGAGATTATAGATAAGATAGAACTGTTAACGAAAACAGTAAATTATAAGCCAGTTATTAAGAAAAAGAAAATGTAACAAACCACGAATAAGCAATAACAAAGTAGAGCAACGTTCAAAGAAACGTCGAAATAAATATATCAAATATTTCAATGCCAATGCATCAAATAATAAAGATATTAAAATAGCTTAAACAGTTATGACCGAAGCAAAGTTTTAGCAAACTAAATAAGTTATAAAGACTATTAAAGTCGATAAAAAGTGGCATCCCGTTATGAAGATTTTATGCAAATTAATTTGCTTCACAATAAAAAAGATTGATTTGATACTTCATGTTACAACTAGGTCTTATGGTAACAGTAATGCTATAAGCAAACCTACCATTACATTTTCGAAACGATACCATCATTTACATTTTAGGGTGTGGTACTCTCCATACACCTAATTAAAATGCCTATATAAACATCATATCGATGGAATATTAAATACATACGTGGCGCCTTAAAATTTCAAATTCCGATGGAAATCAAAAAGACAATGGGTGTTCGAATCAGATAAGTACCGACACAATAAACATCCATAATACGATGGTAGGTTTTTTAGGAAATTTCGTAAGATATTGTGCCGGTTCATTCAGGCGAAACAATGGCTCCTCATAATGTCCTACATAATGGGTTTTTGAACTCGCTCAACGGAACCACGAGTGATCGAAAGTTCTTAGTACTGGGATTTATGATTCCGAGGAAATTGGGTGGGGACTTCCTTTTGAATTGATTGTCGTTGACAACTGAATGATACGGAGGTCATTGTAGTTGATGATAGGTAAGTGGAAGATGATTGTACACAGAAAATAAGGACAGAACTCGAAATAGTTAATAGTACATACAATTCATTGCATTGCTAAACAAAGATTCCTAAAACTGATTAGCTTCAGTCTAGCTCCACTTTTTTACCAGATCAGGATGTAAAATAAACAGACAAAGTGGATACAAATGTACATAATGACTATACGGATCAACGGGCGACTACAGAAATAATCATGACTATACGTTGAAATGAAAAAACAACAAAAACTAAAGAACTGAATGTTGGCAAAAAATAAAAGAACGAAATCGATATAATTCACACGTTTCTAGAGTTCCGACGGATAAGAGAAATACTGCTCGATTTATCTTTTGAAACTATTAAAGTAATTTGCATTGGTCATTTTTAAGCTGATACCATTCAGTAGGAGCCTTTTATAGAACGTTTCCAGATAAGCTGTCTATTTCTCCAAGCGAGCTGGCTTGATGGATAGACTCTAACGCCCCCGGTAAATATCATTTTTTACTCAGAACACACAAACGATTATTGTATACGTTTCGGCAAAAAATGAAACAGAATGTTCTGTACGTGAGTGCACTCAATAATTTTTAAATTTCCTGAGACAGCTGTGACCCAGGCATGCCTGGGTATCCACATATAATCCCTCTCTGGCATTTAGTTAAGTGGAAAACGAATAAATGTCAGTTGGTACTGTTCAGTTTTGGTCACCGTTTACAGTTCTATGACTAATTGAAATTAAAATGTCACTTAAGATTTAGATAAACGGATTTGTGTGGCCGATTTTAGATTATTCTTCAAGAATGTCAGTCGAAAAATGTGTCAGATCAATCAAATATGGAGTTTAGAACGGTTTCCTAGAATTACTTAACATTTTTAGCATTAAGAGCTTTTGTTTTTCCTGGTCACTTAATGTCTAAATTAACTGTCAATTATGTTCCGTCTACATTTTTTGCTACATACCGTTAGCTACTTGTTTATAAAGTAGAACGATTTATAATAATACCTTTTGAATATTGTAATCAATCTACTTGCAAAACAACTTTTCCTTCAATATCGATCACCAATCATTTTATACAAATTAACAACGGTTACTTTCAAAACGCATTTGATATCTCTCATTAATTATTCCATTGTCTTCACATCGACAATCAGATCATCGTGCAAGAGTTCAATAACTGCATCAATTTCTTGCATCAGTACCCGTCTTCCATCTAAATTGACATTTACTCTCTGCAAGTATGTCTAAAATGTAAATGCGGTTACTACACACACCAATTCACGTGTGTTCGCAACTATTTATCGTCTCATAATAACTGCCATGTGATATTCAACTTTATTACAACCGTGTAAGGAAAAACTGGATTTATTCAACTGCAAATTCAAAACATCATTGGGAATACGTGTCCAGCATAACCTGATATGTAATGTTGATTACTTTATTAATGTTTTTATTGAAACGAGAGATCAAGTTAGGTTGGGTGGTGTGGTCAATGTGATAGTACATTTAAGTGAGGCTGTATCGTATAGGAGGTAATGAGGCGGGGCGATGGGTGTACGTACGGACAAAGATCTGACTATTGACATACACGAGATCATCTATATATAAGTATCTACTTAGAATTCTTAAGCTTATTAACAAGTTATGATGTCGAAGACTTGTTTTGTGACTTTAAATATTAACAAAGACAAAAACAGAATATAAAATGCTTATGTATCATGTACTCAATAGAGCGTATTATTGAATACATTACACATATGGAAGTTCTCGCGTATCTAATTGAATAAAAATATGAATCTCTCATCCCAATTTGTAAAGAAACGAGATGAATCATATCATTCCTTGGCGCATTACGTCAATTGATGACCAATTTAAGTATACTGCTGGATTCATTGTCTGTAACCAACTTCGACCTTTATGTCCAGGAATTATGATCGTAAATTGGGTGTGAACATTTTATAAGGATGTTTCAACACATTTGTCATATCCTAAGTACTTTTTATTACAATATTTCGGTTCGAGATGTACAGATAAGGGGCCATCGTGTCTAGTTTTATTTTCCAAGGATCCGTTCCCATTGTTGGTGATAGAATTTAGAATATTTTTAACATTTTCCTGTATCGACAATAATACGTTTTTTACAAAGATATTCTTATTGTTCTGTATCTAACAATCTTTTTGTATAACCAAATATATGATTGTCGTACGATTTTAGCTTTACATATTTGAAAAGTAACATTTTCCTTAATACGGAGAACGTAAAAAAATTGGGGCTTCCCAGGGTACGATTCTTGGTCCACCGCCTAATCTGCACTAATGTCAAGGTGTCAATCAAAAAGCTAATGATAACAGTAAAATCTGTAACTCGATCTCAGAACCGTCTTATTAAGTCCATCAGTTACGTTATAATTGCCGTGTATTGTGTACAGTGTAGTTAATTGTCCATATTAAACTTAGTAATGAACATTAATTACTTGCCAATATGATTTCAGACGTTTACACGGGGCAGGCGGTCGTAAACTTTAGTCGGCGGATGAAAGAGCCGAGATAATTATGAACGTACGCATGCGTAGATCAAATCGGGATCCATCGATCGATAAGGGATCTAGATATGTTGCGCCGGCGATCACTTGTTCCTATTACGTTTGTTGATGGCAATTTTATGTGCAATGTAACGCCCGATGACGTACGCATTCTGTTACACGTTGCCGTGTTTGTACTTAGCTACGGCGATGATACTCATTATCTTTTATTAAATCTCCGTACGAATTGTGTTTCTGA